TACAAGCACAGGTGATTAGGACACGAACACAAAGCTTCCACAAGCCAAGGAGAAAAGCCTCGGAAGAAACCTATCCTGCCCACACCTTGCTCTTGAACTTCTAGCCTCCAGAGGGTTCCCAGAGAATTTCTGTTGTTTAAGCCGTCTAGTCTGTGGTGTTAGTCATGGCAGCCCTAGTGGACTAACACAATAACGAAGAAAACAGTATTCCACACAGTTTTGTCCCTTGAAAAATTGAACTGCTTTCTCTTATGACATTTTAAAGTAGTGCCTAGAATGGGCCTCTTTGTTGAAAGTTGTTTAATGCTTCTTTAGTAAAAAGGTGCTGCTTCTTAGCACTCTAAGATAAGTCTCAGAAGGTCAACTGAAGTTCAGATGTGCTCGATGTTGAGTTGGAGGCCTTCAAGGGAGGTAGGTCACCTCAGAAGTAACTTCAGGTAGGATTCAGAAACATCATTTTATTTAGCCCTTTTCAAATCAAGTCTATGGGGACCTAGTTCCTGAAATCCGAAAGCCGGTTTGAGTTATATCTGCCCTGATTACATTGAATTGTAATCCTGAATCTAAGGCAATCCGTTTGGCCTAGTTTGTAGATGATGACTTGGGACTCATTTGGGACTAGACTCTAGAGGGGAAGGGTAGGTCAGAAAATACTGGTTTCCCCATATTTCCTTTGTGTAATTGCTGGGGACTTTTTTCCTCTGTTTTAGGGGTGTCAAATTCATTTTCACCGCGGGCCACATCAGCCTCGAGGTTGCCTTCAAGGGGCTGAATGTAACTTTAGAACTGTATAAAGGTAACTACTTAACTGGGGACAAGGAGCTCAGTGCTGCCACTGGGCAGAAACAAGGTGTACAACAAGCTGGGTGGCCGGATTCAGCCCGCGGGCCTTGTGTTTGCCACCTGTGCTCTATTTCTTATTTATTTCCTACAGATTTATCTCAATGAACACTAGTATGCCTTAAACTTAATGAACACTAGTAATAGGAGCGTGGACTTGGGAAGGGAGTAGGTTATGGAGAATCTGTGCATGTATAGGGGAGAGGAGGAAGGATAGACACCTCGCTCTACCTCCCACCCTTATGTCACCTGAAGCAGGTCAGAAAATGCGAATGACTCAGCTCCAGGACCCCCATCTGTGCAGGTTCCCATGTGAGGATCTCATTCTTCCTCCCCCCTACACGAACGATGTACATGGAAGAATTCTCAGGTCCCAGCTGCACTTTAAGCAGGTGTTGTAGTTCATCCACACTCTAGTATCCCACGTCCCATTCCTTATTCTTCCTCATTCCTACCCACCTTGAATGGAGAACCGATTGTACTTCTGTGCCACTGGGTACACCTCTGATCTCATACACAGCATTGCCACCTGTCAAAAGGTAGGTTCTGTGACGTTAGAATGAAGATTCCTACTCTTTCCGCCTTTTCACAGACCTTTGTAGCCTCTATGCAATAAACTATTTTATACTCTACTCACCAACTTGCCTACCTTATTGGATTTCTCCTACTACATTGGTACATTTTTTTTTAAGGCAGGGACACATGACACATTCGTCTTTGGATTTCCTCCTCCCATCCCAGCCTTTCCATCTCTCCTGGTCCCTCCACAATAACATAGCATTTATAAATAAGAACTCAGATATGTGATCCAAGCAGCCTTTCTTGGACCGTCTCCTTTGCTGAAGTAAATGGGTTGCTATCCAAGGTCTTTTCTAGCCTTAATATAAGAAACCCTGCTTTAGGTTGACAAGTACACATTCCAGAGCAATTCTAAGGAACGTAGTAGCTTTAAAAAACATCACTCAGCATAACCTAAAAAGCACAGGCTTTTCTCATAAATATATACATACAGACAGACATAATCTAAGGAAAAGCAATATAGTGCAGGCCTATCAAAAATACATGGAAAGAAACCCACAAGGCGTTACTCTAGTTTGCATGTGATCTAAAAAAAAGTATGAATATTTTTAGGGTTCATGCTAAGAGCAAAAATGTTGTTTGATGACATCCTCATTTGATCAAGAAACCAAAGACTATAGTGACATATACATAAGATGAATTTTTAAAAATTTGGAATACTTAACTATGGGCCACATGCCATTCTAAGTCCTTTATATGAAATGACTCATTTAATTTTCATACTGTATCAAATGGTGGAGGACCAGGCAGAGTCTAAATTTCTAAGCTTTCCACATTAGAATTAAATAGTAAAATACACTACAAAACAACATTGTTTAAATTGTGTTAAAGCCACAAAACTGATTTTTAAATACAAGTGACTGTAAAACATTTAACCTGTTCATCTTCAGTAATTCATTCTTAGTGTGCTATCTTAGTTCAAGGTGTTGCTCAAACATATTTCACCGCATTAATACAAAATTCATTGGATTAAAACAAATTATACAATAGTAGGAGTTTAGAAGGTTAAACATATATAACTTAAATTTCAACATACCTTATTTAATCTTATTAAGATTAAATGTCATTCTCAATACCCTGAAAAATGTTACTATTATATAAACAATAACATAGCAAAAACTTTTCAATAGCATAATCAGGAAAAAAGGAGCTTCATTCACTTACTAAAATCCTTATCCATTATAATTATTATTCTGGATATTCCCAAAGTCCAGAATATCTTTTTTCTTACTGAATAACCACATTGTCTTTCTTCTAAATAGACTCAGCCTTGCCCTGGCTGGTGTAGCTCAGTGGATTGGGCACGGGCCTGTGAAGCAAAGGGTCACCTGTTTGATTCCCAGTTGGGGTGCATGCCTGGGTTGCAGGCCGGGTCCCCAGTGGGGGACACATGAGAGGCAACCACACAGTGATGTTTCTCTCCCACTCTTTCTTCTTCCCATCCCCTCTCTCTAAAAATAAAATATTAAAAAATAAAATAAATAGACTCAGCCTCAAGGGATAAATTATTCTCTGTATCTCCTATGCGTGGCCTAACTGGGGAGTGTGAAGCATATAAATGATTTCCTGTAGGTTAGTTTTTATTGTAAACACTTCAGTATTTTCTTCAAAGCTGCTCTTCTCCCTTTTCTGCCCAATGTTTAATTATATCACTAAAATGAATTTTTGGGAAGCCCCTTCATTGTAAACTTATTTTTAACTGAAATATTAATGAAATAAATTTAACTTAAAATTCTATTTTTTTAAGGGAACCTTGAAGAGGCTTTACCAACTGAGGTACTACTATTAATAGTTCAAGGAATTATATTATCTAGGTTGCTAGGTTGTAATGGAAGTTACTGGCTTCCCCTAAGCAACTTAAGTTGGCATGTTTGCCTAGCAACAGCCGCTAAAACCTTCTGTTGTGGAAGGTTCCCTAGGAGTGAAAAAAAGGGAGGAGGAGGAGAAGCAGGAACAGATTAATCTCTTTTTCCTAGTAGAGGACTGAGGCTGAGCTGTTCTAGGTGGAAGATACTCTTTAGGTTAGTGCAGGCTGGTCTGATCCCTCTGTGGAAGGTGGGAAATTTGCTCTTTGTAGGACTGGGGTTACTAAGTAGTAGGTTGAAGACGAGGTTACAGATTTTCAAAGGCAGTCATTTCCAATCAATAGAAAGACATCGATAGGTCTAAAAAGAAGCTGAAATCTGAGTAGCTGGAGGATGCTAGCAACTTAAAAAGAACCCTCCCCTGCCCAGAGTTTAGGAAGGTGTGTGACATATTATTTACAGATAATAGAAAAAACTCTTATCTGTCCTAGTGACTGGATTTTATCACAATAAAGGCAGAAGCGTCTCTAAATAGAGTACAGCACTTTCCGTGGTGTTGGTGATGCAAGCAGTGGAGAAAGAACAGGAAAGCAAATCTCTGCGCCCTTGGCAAAAAAGGAAAAAAAGGGGGGGTGGTGGCGATGCAGAGAACTACTAACGGGGTGCATATTTGTGGACCATCTCTCTCCTCTCTTCTAATAAGACGATTTATTTTGAAAGTAGGGCTGCATGGTACAAAAAGCATTCCATTTCTCTCCCTTCTCAAACGCCAGGACCCGGCTAAACAGAATTGCTTTGCAGGGGTCTCCCATTACCCCAGAGCAAAATGACTCCTTCTCCCTAAGGGAGAAGAAACTTTCAGTCCTCACGAGGTTAACTTTTAGGTCCCGGAGCTCTTCCAGGAGTCGAATCTTTTCCTGCCCCCTCCCGCCCCGCGCCCCTTCCTTGCCAAGAGAGCTCTTAGAGTTCTCGGGGACCTGGGGACACATTCCGGAGCGGTGAGTGTACGGGCCTTTGGCCCCGGTCGCCCTGATGGGAGGCCGAACTGTTTGGGAACTCTTGAGAGGGGTGACTAAGGCAAAGCTGGTGTCATGAAGAACCTGCCTAACGTGAAGTAAGAACAAATTCTTGTGGGGTGGGGGAGGCGAGCTGATGCAAAGGAACCATTAGAACGGGGAGACGGGAGCTGAGAAAGCCCAGGGGTTGAGGCAGTGCGAGGTGGGATGGCACCGGCAGGCATTTTCCAATTCACCTTCAGAGCCCGGCCACCTGCCCGCCGGGCGCAGGGGCGCGGGAGGGCGGGGGGGGGGCGGGCTGGGCCGGGCCGGCGCAGGAACCTGTTCGCCAGCTCTGGGCGTGTTGCGCTCCCGGGTGGGGCGGAGCGCGTCGCCAGCCTCCCCGCGGGGCGTGGCGGCGAGTGACTCAGAGCCACCCACCCGCGCTGGCCCCGCCCCGCACGCGCTGGCCCCGCCCCGCACTGGCCCCGCCCCCGGAAGGAGGGACCTCGCCCCGGGCTCCGCCTTGGGCTCCGCCCCAGTCTCCGGGGCGGGCGGGAGCCCGAGGAAGAGGAAGGACGGGAACGAGAGCGACCGGGCGGAGGAGGAGGAGGAGGAGGAGGAGGAGGAGGAAGGAGGAAGGAGAGGAGCTCGACCAACAAGATGGCCCCTGCTGCCGGAGCAGCCTCAGCAGCAGCAGGTGGGGGCCCGGAGGCGGCGCTGGCGGTGGCGGCGGCCGGGGCCCGGCGGCCTGGGACAGAGTCCGAGTCGACGGTGGCGGCGGCGGCGGCGGCGGCGGTGGCTGCCGCGGCGGTGGCGACGGCCGCGGGGACTCGGAGCTGAGAGGAGCTGCTGCTCGGACCAGCGCGGTGAGCGAGCGGCGGCGGCGCGGGGAGCGGGGCGGCGCGGCCCGGCCTCGGTCGGGAACAATAGGCAGCGGCGGCGAGGACGCGGCTGCCCCAGCCGGTGCTCCGCTCCGGGGCCGCGTCCGCCCGCCCGGCCTCGGGCCCCGCGAGCGGCCGGGGGGCTTGTCAGTGGCCAGCGGCCTTTAGGCCTCAGGCCTCGGCTTGCCGCCGGGCGGGCCCGCGGGGCCCGTAGGCCGTGGGGAGGTGGGGACGCCGCCCTGAACTGCGGGAGGGGGCGGCCGGCCGGCGGGAGGGGGCCGCGTCCGGGCAGCGCTCCTGGACCCCCAGCCCGCGGGGCGGCGGGGGGTGGGGTGACGGCGTCTGTAAACAGGCGCCGCCTCCGCCTGCCGCCCTCTCGGGGCCGCTCGGGTCCCCAACCCCTTCGGGCGCTCCCCGCCCCGGCCGAGTGGGTTTCACGACGTCTGCTTCCCTGGAGATGGAGCCAGATAGTCTCCTTTCCTCCTGGTGGCGAGCTGGGGAACGCCGTGGGTGCAGGTGTCTTTTCAAAAGGCGTATAAGTGCAAGCAGAACAGCCACAAAAATGTGCGAGGTCCAGGGCGATTAGCGAGAAGGGATGGAGAGGGGTGGAGGGCTGAGGGATGCCCCTCCTCTTCAAACAGCCCCGGGCCTCGGTTCCCCCCCCCCCGGACCTTGGGGCAGAGCGGAGCGGGGGCGCTTTGGGAGCGCCGGTAACTCCAGACATCCCCGAACATCCACGGAACTGGAAACAAAGCCACTTACTGGCAACGCGGAGACAAACTGTAATGTTGGAATAGAACTTTTCTTCCCACGAAGCGCTGTGCATTATTCATGTGCCGCGGAAGAAACGACGGTAACCCGCGTGCGCTAGGCCCAGTGAGGCGTCCCTGCCGGAGCCGCGAGGGCTCGTCTGCAGGCTAGGACTCCGGGTGTCCTCCTGTCTCATGTTCTAATTTTGGCTTTCAGTAATTCGTCCTAAAATTATTCCGGACCAGGCCGTTCCTCTGAGTTGGACGTTTGGTTTCTAAAGCAGATTTCATAACGTTGTAATAATTTTCAAAAATTGGCAACAACTGTTCTGTTTTGACTGGGTGGGTTTTTTTTGTTGTTTTTTTTGGCTTATCAAGGGACAGCTGTTCATTATATTTGCCCTTGTGGTAGTGGTGTGTGAGACTTCAACAAGGAATTGGTATTTCTCCTAAACTTAGTTTTTGAAAGGCGCCTACCAAGCCCATTTCCAAGGGAGGGAGAAAAATGATGTGAGTTACTTCTATACCAGTTTCTACCTTAGGTGTGCAGAAATTCGTATTAAAATTGTTTGGATGCCTTGCTTGCTAGTTTTCAGCACTAAATGGGGTGCTCCATGTACTTTGTATTCTTAAAAGGAAGATTGACCTGTGCAGAGAACATGCCAGTTAATGTGGCTCGCCCATGTTTATAGCAATTCAGAGTGTTTTCAGGTTATGTGTAGTATACGAAATTTAATGAGCTGCACTAGTTCTTAGTTCTTCCACAAGAATTGACAGTAAATAGACTAGCAATTGGGTAAACGTGGAGGTGGGGCTGCCTTGTGGAGGACTGGACTAGAGTGGACACATGTGAATGGCTTTGATGTTATGCACAGCTTAAGTAATGCGCATGTTTTGACTTTTCAAGTAATGGGGAGAGAACAGCTTTCACATGGCTCCTGCTAATGTGAATTTCTGGGAATAAGGTTCAGAAGGGAAACTTTTAAGTGCTCAAATCTATGATTCTTTTTTTATGCTGAATTTTATTAGGTTAGTACAGAATACAAGTAAAGTTTATATTGCAGTGGTTCTTAAATTTTTCTGTGACCCTAAAGCTATTATAATTTTAGTAACTTAAAAGTTTGTAAATTGTAAGTGGTTAGTGTGTTTTGTTATAAAAAAATGTCATGTTGTGTCAAGGACTAATTTGCCTCATACTTAATATTATTTTTCTGAAAACAAAGCTTTTTAAGTGTTAAGGTTTTGAATTTGAAATTGGATGTTGATCCAGCAATTTATGGGTTAAATCTGGGTCCCTATTCCTGTTTAACAATGAGAAATCTCTTAGAGAATTCTGTTTGTATTTGTCAAAACTTCCTAAAGATTTGATCTCTCAACTGTCATATCTTCATTATTAATGTTTATTCTGACTATTTCAGTTCAGAATTTCTCAACTAACATTTAAGAATTTTCTTCTAAGAAGTTTCAGGACCATAGCTTAAGAATCAGATTTGCATTTTCTTGGTAATGTTGAAAGTTAATGTGTGTTCGATTTATTTGAAAATATTTGAAAAAGTTTTTTTCTACATAAAAAAATTAAAGTTTTTCAAAGTAAATTTGTTGAATGAATAAAAACATTTTCATTTAATCCTCCTAGTTAGGCTGTAATATTCTCATTTTATCTATGAAGAATCTGAGGCTGGGCGTAGCTAAGTAGCAAAAAGGTCACATAATTAATAGGTAAAAGTTTATTCAAACCTAGGTGTCGTGACACAAATTAGATGCTTTACTGCTGCTACCATGTGTCTCGAGGTTAAAGTTTGAAGCACCTTGTTTTGACCATAAACTATGTCTTGTAATACTGTACTTGCCTGTAGCCCTAATATCCTTCCAATTGTAATTATTTATTTGTATTCTGCCAAATACTTAGTTATAAATTTGAAAAAGTGTTTATTCATGTGAATGACAAAAGAAACACTGCTTTTGCAGGTTTAAATACACTGAGTATAGAAACTCATACTATTTACATAGGACAGACTTGTGGGATTGCTGTAATTGTTTCAAGACTTGAATTTGTTATATAAGCAGTTACTACGTTGTGCCTTTGAAATACATAGTGAAAATTCAAGAATGACTTTCGTGACTTTCAGTGGTGTTTAAAGTTGAGTGGGCCAACATTTGAAATTCTTCATTTACATTTTTAAAAGGCATAGACCATTTAGAATTCCACAACATTTTTTTAAAATCTCTAGATCTTAGGGCTTGAAATGGGGTTTGATGGGGGTCTAAGCAGTCTACACTTGCATATATCCTGAAAGAGTTTGGCATCCAACCGACTGAAGAATAAACTGATAAATGATCCTTGTTTGGTGGACTCCTCGGAGCAAAATGTTCCTTGGCAGGGTATACTGACCTGGTTTAGCTCCGGGCCTGTCAGTGCTCAGAGTGCATGCATCTTTGGGGTTGGTTTCCAGGGGATTTACATTCTCAGATTGGCCTGCATCAAAACAGCCACAGTGGATCTCGAAATGAGCCTGTTCCATAGTGGCCCCTTTAAGTCTCCTCTTTTGTTTAATCCTGGAGTCTAGACGGCATTTGGACCCGCCTTAGCAGTTATGCCATAAGATTAATTTTGTCAGGCATTTATATTGAGGAATTTTGCTCCAAAGTTTCTTAAGGTAAATTCTGTACATTTTCAAGTGTGAAGTGCACTAAATGAAGTAACGTTGCCCTGCATCCATCCCTAAGACAGTTAGCTCTGGCATCTTTATTTATGTCCACGTTGGTCAGTCATTCTGGTGCTTGTTTACTTTTTATGTAACATCACAGACTTCTTATCAGCTCATAATGTTTCCCTGATTGGTTGAGGTTCAGGAAAAGGATTCTAGTAAAAATGTTGAATCCACCTTACACGCACAGTTAAGCTGACTGAAATTGCATTCTGTCATAGAGGAATAAATGTTTTAAGGTTCACTGATACTCTTCTTTGAGACTGTTTACAAATGTATGTCAGCAATATTCTTTTGATGTTTGTTGAGCATTTTAGCACTCATGTCAGTATACTCCTGAGCAAATATGGTAATAATTTAACTTGTATTACATTTTAGCTAAAATCTGTAAGATCTAAACAGATTTTGAATATGGTAACAATATTTTGAAGAAGAGAAGAGTTCTAAAGGGGTCCATTTTATCTATCGTAGCACTCATTTTTTTCTTGAGGTTTAGTTCATATAACATAAAATTAACCAGTAAATAGTACAGGAGCAGTACAGTCACCATGTTTTGCAACTAACACCTCTAATTCCATAATATTTTTATCACCCCAGTAGAAAACTACTTTTGTTAAGCAGTTTCATTCCAGCCTCTCTCTCTCTAGTTTCTGGCTACCACCATTCTACTTGCTGTCTCTTTGGATTTAATGGAAAGTTCTTTTGGGCCAAGTTTGAAGAAGAGTATTTGCTACGTGTAGTTGAACCTGCAGAAAAATCTTTGGGATATGCTTGTTAGCCATCAAAACCCACCTCATTCTTTGCATGCTTTTCCAAGTACAGTGGGCTGCTGCCAGGGACTTTTTATGGAAGAAAAGGTGGAAATCACAACAATTTGCAGTTTTAGTTTTGATCACTATGAAGGAGTGTGCTCACTCTCAGACTTTGTATTTCCTCGTTGGGTTGTGACCATTAACTAAGTTTCAGTGTTACATACAAATGTATGTGATTTATTTAGTCTGTTATCTACAAGTTGTTTGCCTTTTGGTTTTTCTCAATGTATAGAAACAACTTGGAACATTAACAGACTTACTTGGACTTATTTGAGGTTACCGTATTTTTAGGACTATAAGACCCACCGGACCATAAGATGCACCTAGCTTTTAGAGGAGGAAAATAGGAAGAACAAATTTGAAGCAAAAAATGTAAAATATTCAATAACATAAGTAACTTAAATTTCACCAGCGTAAATGTAAACTGCATTTACTAGCCAGGTAAGCTACATTCGGACTATAAGACGCACCTGCTTCTCTCCAAATTTGGGGGTGCGTCTTATAGTCCAAAAATACGATACGTTGGGAAATGATTATTACATTGAAACTTTTTTATTCTATTCTCATGAATCTAACTTTGTGACCATTTTATTCAGTTAATTTTTTAGATTATTTGGAGTTATGATTTGTCTGACACTCTGCATTTAATCTCTTGTTTGATAAATCTTAGAATCTTGATCTTGGCTTTACAGGTGACTCGCTCCTAAAACATAAGA